GCATCGCAAGGTCCAAGACGTTGTCGATGCCAACAGAGAACTGGTCTATCGGCTAGATCACATTCGAACGCTTCGATTCAACGAGCAGTGGCCAGCGCAAGGCTATCCGAGGCCGGAGCATATCGTACATTCCGTAGCTCCAATAGGAGAAGAGACTAGTACGCGCTGGAGCGGACCACCTCGACTGCAGTTAAACGGGACCAATGTATCTGACACCACGGAAGGTGCTAATGTGCAAGCTGGAACCTATGACGACAACCCGGACAGGAGTCAGTCCGCGGGTTCACGCCCACGATCGCGATCCCCGACCTTATCGGAAAGTTCGGGAAGACCATCAGAGCTAGATGAGGCAGAAGGGCCGGCCGAAAAGCGCAGAAAGCGTAATGGGCCTCAACTATGGAAGACTGCGAAGGCTGTTCCAGAAACGACGACATAACACGCTTGAAATTGGATGTGCTTCTGCTAGAAGCTGGCTGGCTGGCCAAAAGTACCCAAGTAGGATTCCTCGTTTTCGAGTTATTAATATAAATTATTAGTTTTTGCACACGAGTTATAAGGTTTATCTTGGCTCTTGTCACTTTCCCAGCTCCCAAGGTCTTTCAGTTCATAATGAAGGGACACAGTTGATGAAGACTTGTAGCATCTCGAATTCAAGCCCCATACAGTGGCCCAGGAGATGCCAACAAGGAATGATGCTACAACCACTATTCAGGCCGCCTGTTGGTTATACTGCACTGTATATAGACGTACGTTTATAATAGGTACATAAGGTATATATTAGAATTCTAATTTCCTATTCCATCAACGACCAACCATTTCAGTTTCCATCTGGCTTCCGATTGTGGTCCTACAATGGCAAGTAAAATGCAGATGCTACCAATAGGAAGATAAGTGAACAAAGGGAGGACGAATATATCGACCGATTGGAGACCATCATCTGAACCACGGGAGCAGGTCTCCAATTGGAATTTGCGAAACCACTTGGTCTAGGTCTCGGACTAAACTCCTCCATGCTCCACCCGTACTGGGTCTTTTCCTGGAACGACTTGCGGACAAGAAGTTCGCCTAAGTCAAGAACATTTTCCGCCCTTTGGTCGGGGACCAGACTCTAATTAGCCCATTAAACCGAAGGAGATTGCTGGCTTTCTATTCCTTCCTTTGGAGATATGCGGATGAAATGTTATCATATTATATGATTCCGTAATAGTTCTATACTTAGGTACTTAATCCTATTAATTTCTCGCCTACCTAACGTATACTATACGTGTTGCTTACAATGCGGCAATGGTGATTCTTACGTACCTACCTAATAAGTAAACGTGGCTGTTCCCGTCACGCCACTTTACAAGTTTTATATCTACCTAAGAGCTATGAAGAGAGTGTCCGTGGTATCCGGTGGAAACGTATCCCAGTTGTTGGACATGTTGATGAACGTCTCGGTTATATACCACGTATCCTTCTTACAACACTATACACCACAACCATATTCATAGGTTCAATCCCGAACATAGACCACCGCCTCGTTCTTGCCCCTTGATTGCAGGGGACAGCAACTGCAACTAGGAGGCGCAATGTGGAAGTTCTGCCGCATTGTAGGCCTGCGAAGCTCTCGCGTCGACGAGAGTCGCGGTGTTCTCCACGCATTCGGGCCCCAGGACTATCCTAGGACAATGTCCCGTGGCTGTATGTCCCGGACCGTGTAGATTTGGCCTAGAATTGGGGTGATATAACCAATTGGAAAATGGCATCATCTTGAGTACTAAAAACTGGTACGACGCTTTGCGACGAGGTCTTACTATGTATGTGACGAAATCTCGAGCACCCATTCTTCTTCCGCCAGGAAGGAAAGAGAGATGCATAATCTATCATCGTCACTGGCTTCGCCTTCCGGAAGACGGGAGGTATTCATCCCCAGGATCAACGCGATTCCTGCATAGGAAAGTGGCTGGTCATATTAGGTAGCTAGGTAGCTATATTATGCTCACTGCTGGTGTCTAAAGGAGGGGAAACGAGCTAGGCGGAGACATGCTCCCTTGGTTCGTAAAATGGTCTCAAATCAGCCGATAAAGACATTCTCCCTTCTGGTAGCATTTGCCTTTTCCTTGGCGCTATGGTACTGTACTCACAGGCCAGATAGCAACTAAGGTGGCTTGTCGTTGATGCAACAGGAAACTAGAACTCTTATACCTTACGTACGTATGTACATGTAAAAACGCCAGGGGCAGGAGCGAATACAAGGATGGTACTGTACTTGTAGGATGGACATGAATCAGCGTCGACGGAGAGAGTTGGCGCCAAAATTGTGAATATTCCGGTCAAATTTTCACCGGAAGGGAGAACGCCGTTTGTCGGCTGTTTACAAGCCGCTCGCCGAGTAAAGTGGGAGAATATTTAGTCGAAACTAAAAGATAGATTTTCAGGGGAGGGAAAGTCTGCTGCCCTAGTCGTTGTGTTAATACCCGGGCATGTTTCCGAAATAGGAAACTAAGCAAAGGGAGGACCAATTGGAAGAAAGGTATGTGACAGAAGGGATGACGAACCACGAATGAGGGCCAACTAAACTAAACGTAAAGTAGCGGAGAGGGATTCGGGATACTGGTCACGACTTGACGACAGGATATAAAAACGTAGCCATACCCAAGTTATCCGGGTAGGTACTGAATTTACGCACCTAGTATCAGCTCCCAGCATATACTACTGAGTTTCAAGCTATATGAAATATGTGATGTGACCGTCATGACTACGGCGATGAAACCACCTTACGATTCCGAGCTAGGCGTGATGCTCGAAAAAATATCCATCCCGCCGATACTCACACTCGACATCCTGCCTGCGGTCCGGGCCGAGCAGGATGCGATGTGGACAGCTGATGCTGCGCTTGCCGACGAGCCGTTCACCCACGAAGAGCATGGTATTCCCGGACGGCTTGTCCTCTCCGTATTCCAACCACAGCGGCGTAACGTCCCTTGGGAGAGGCCCGTGCACGGCCGGCCATGCATTCTCTGGATACACGGGGGAGGCATGCTACTGCGGAATCGGTTCATGAGCGTCAAGGTTCCTTTAGCATGGGCGAAGACGTGCGGGGCGACTGTCGTCAGTGTGGAGTATCGCGTCGCACCTGAACACCCGGCACCCGCGGCCGTTGAGGATTGTTATGCTGCACTGTGCTGGCTGCGGGATGCGGGCGACGCGCGCAAGCTCGGCATCGATCAAGAAAGGGTCCTCGTGGCCGGCATAAGTGCGGGTGGTGGGCTGGCGGCCGGTGTGGCGCTAATGGCGAGAGACCGTGCGCTTGCAGGCGGCCCCAAGATATGCGGGCTGGTGCTGATGTGTCCTATGCTCGACGACCGAGTCGACGCGGCCGTGGCCAAACTGTTCGGCGGTCCGGAATCCCCCATCTGGAGCACCGAAAGCAACGAAGTAGCGTGGAAGGCGGTCCTCGGCGAAGCGTACGGCAGCGACGCGGTGAGCCCATACGTGGCTCCCGCGAGAGCGGATGACCTCTCTGGGTTGCCTCCAACCTATATAGATGTAGCATCGGTAGAGCTCTTCCGAGAGGATTGTGTGCGGTATGCGAACCGATTGTGGCGAGCCGGTAACCGCGCCACGCTGCATGTATGGGAGGGTGGCTTTCACGGGTTCGACGTGTTGGCACCAACTGCAGCCCTGTCAAAACTGTCTAGTTCGACAAGGGCTGCGTGGGTGCGGCGAGTTTTAGGTGAAGGGATTGATATTGGGGTGTGATAACTTCTTGGGTATTCATATGTCCGGGGCTAGGATAAATTTAGTCGGACCTACGTCTTAAGAGAAAAGGTATTAATATTATGAGAATAGAGAATAACATTTTTTTAAACTTAACTTATTTGTGTTAATGTCTTATGGAGCTTGGTAGATATAAGAATCCACCAGGGGAGGGGGAGAGGGTCTTTGGAAGCCGGGATAAGTTAACTGCCAGTCTTGGTGCATCTTCCTTTTGCTAATTGACTTAGTGGTCCGAACCGTTCCCAGTCTCCCGTCTGCAGTTCCCATACTTCCCCATCTACTGTCAGCTACTCACAATTGTATCCGAGTGGCTGTTGCTGCATCAAGATGGTCGAAAAAGCTCGCAGATCACATATATTGTGTGACGAACCTACACCCTGGCGGGATATAGTCATTACTGGATCGGCTGATCCAGGGTGTCTTGATTTGAAGGTAACAATACTGGTTGTAGGTCAAGCGATAAATAATTCTGTTCGTCAGAGAGGCGTGGAGTCCTCTCACTATGTCTGGGAATAGTCTTATATTGATAACTAGAGAGCTATGAAGAGAATGACTAGATACATAGGAGATGTTATGGTTTATATAGAATATCCTTCCTACTTCCTTCTTGGTTGATTCCATCTTGATGTGGTGGATGTGGTGGATGTATCTTACATCCGACACATCCATTCTCCCGATATTATTCCGTGGTTGGCTTGTTTCTGCTGATCCCCACTTCTTGGTTTCAATATGGGCCGCCGAATCTGGTTTGTAACAATTTTTTAAAATATTAAATATAAATAAAAAATATTATTTTTATAACTATTTAATTTAAAATATCGAAAAAATAATTAATTTATTAAGTTTACGTTCCAGACCGCGGGGTAATACATATAATATAGAATTAGGGAACAGTGACCAATTGGTCACTGGGAAGCTTTTGCTTTATGGCTCAACTGGTTGTCCCTAAACTAGTTTGTGACATTATCCTCTATGTCCACATTGTGCGTACCCTTCTCACTTTGACCTCTCAACTCCATTCTTGGTTCCTTCCAATGCTATTATTGAAACAGTATGCCTCTAATCGATGGGCTGCCTCGGCGCTGGCATCAGCGTCGCAGATTTGGTCCAAGAACTTCTACCCAAGACTATTTACCCACCCAAACACGGAATGACAAGCTTAACGCAAGACATCAAAATGCCAAATTTACCAACAGAACACTCGGTACTACGATATAATCTGTAAAAGCGCAGCTTCGTATCATATTTACTGCTTATTCCTTCTTGTGCAAAGAGTCTTTGTCGGATCTCGATCTGCGGGTTTCGGACTCGAAGGTTTCCCATGCCTTGGGAACCTATGAAGATACAATCCGCTACTTAATTATGCTTATGGACGAGCTTCTTAACGTTTCGAAAAAAATAGAAATAAGCACCAACGCCACCTAATCAATATGCTACGAGGTGGAAAATGATCTTAATGCTACCGAGACTGGACCGGAAGACGATTTGCTCACGGCTGACAATCCAGAAATCCCAGAGCTCAACGCACAGTCGTATTCAGAATCGGAGGCGAGGGACTTTTTGGAACCCGATGCCGAGTCCGACCGTAATGCAGACTCTGATGACTCTGATGTTGACGCTGATACCGACTCCGGCTATGCATCCGCGGAAATATTCGGATTTTACAATGAATTTATGACCAAGTGTCAAGAACAGGGTCCAACAATGGCCAACCGAGGGGATAGTGTTAAAAAGATGATAAGTGTAGAGTAAGGAAAATGGAATCAGTGAGAATCACATTTATGGATAAGGTTTCTCACATACTTACCCATGGAATAGGTTTTGCCAATTTATGAGATGGGATCCAGACGAGACGCCAAAGAAATGTGAAGCCGCTATATTCAAAATTTATTTGCTCTAGAGATGCAACAACTCGCAGATTAAGACTTCCAGTGGATTCCCGTGGCGCTAACCCCTTCCCTTGGTCTCGATACTTCGATGAAAAACAAGTCAGGCCTTTACATCTCTGATTTAGATCTCATGTTGCACCATCATTGGATTCTCGACGAAGATGTCTTTACGCACGGGCGCCTGCGCGTGCAGATGGCTGCAGCGCTCGTTCTAGCTGGCGCTACCTCGACTTGTCCTGGCGCCCTGATCGAAAACTTGCGCTATAAGGACGTGGCGTTCTATCTATTCCCACCTGTGGTGGCCGGCGGTCGAGCACGCGTCGGAATGGTAATAACCTTGACGAAACTCAAAAGGACCGGCGGTATATCCCGGCCGAAAAAGTATGGATTCCACGAAGAGGATACCTTGTTGCACGATCCTGTCCTGTACATGGAGAGCCTGGCTCTTGCGGATAACGCATTCGAATCCAAGTTTGTCAGCCCTGAAGAGCTCTATCGTCTCGTTGTACCCTCGAAGAACAGTAGTATACTCATTCCATGGAAAACCGAGTGGCAGGAAAGATACATTTTTCGAGATTCCCAAAAGGCTAAAAACAACACGACCATAGCCCTTGATCGGGCGTTTCCATACGGGAAGGCGCGGAAATATTTGATCCGTCTCGGCCGGGCTCTTGGATATGAGAAGCAGCTTGAGTAGTATGATTTAAGGCGAGCATCAGGCAAAAAGCTGAACAAGGCACTCTCTCCGGAGGAGCGCAATCAAAGCATGGGGCATACGCTAGGGGACTCGTCAACCTATGTACGATTTTACATGCCCGACTTTATCGAGGTTGATTTTCAAGAGATTATTTTTGGTAGTGAGCCACAACGGGACCTAATCCATCTTATGGGCCGACTTCTTCGCCGGGGTGATGCCCCCAAAGAGCTCACCGAGGAACAAAAGGCAGAAACCAGGCAGGATACGAAACTGGTCAGAATTCGAGAAAGACGGCAAAGGGTTCTCGCTAAGATTAGACAGCAAGGATTGACTCTGACAACGGCAAAAACGCATGGCGAAGCCCTGCTCCATCAATATAATCACTACCATAAGCAAGCGGAGCAGAGAAAGATGCTGCACGATAAGCGACTAAACCAGGCTATACAGCAGTTTCATGACTCTGCAGATGCTGAAGAAATCAGACGCCAACTTAATGGGATCCGGCCATCGGAACTTCTTGTATCACCCACAGTTCAATACCAGCTTCACGAAAGAGCCGAAGTCGCAAAACTATTTCTAGAGGCTACCCAGGTTTCTGACAGGAACGGGCTCTATGTGTGCCGTATTAAGCTTGTAAAAGGTTTAGCCTTACTTAGCCGCCAACAAGAAAAACCTCGCCGTCGCCAAGCAGATCCTAGTCACAAGCCTACGGAGTCTGTTAAACTGGCACTTCCTACTACTTTCGCCAGATCCGCCCAGCACGAGACCACCAAGGCCAATGCGCTTATATCTGCAGCATGTCCCTTGTGCTCCTTTGAATGCTCCAAGAGCGATCTGCTCGAGCATGTAATGAGCAAACACAAAAGCAATTCTGAACCATTCCACTGTCCCTACTTGAGCTGTGAGGGCATTATTGGAGGCGTAAGGTACTTTGAAGATCATATTGAGCGCCAGCATGCGTCAGAAAACCAGCTGTTTTGGCACAATAAGCTTTCATGACCTGACATTCGCGATATTAAGGCATTTCATGCATTTGACCCCTTGAGCAAGGTTGAGCATCTAGGATGAGCTGTGTTTACCTTGCTCCAACAGCGAACCACATCCAGGCAAAGGCAGACATAGCTTACAATCAAGGGCACAGCTCCTACCAGTTCCTGCGAATGGCTCGTCATTATGTCTCTTCTGCCGTTGGGTAGATGCTGAAGTAGAATATCTACAACATGGAAAGTCGTGGCGGATTGATAGTCTAGCGACATATTCACGACCAATACTTACGGAGCATTCATTTTCCATTCCCTTGTTCCTTTCCTGGATGTCTGGAAGCGCTCAGGACGGCTAGTCAGTTTGCAGGCCACGTAGGCCACCAGCATGCCCTTCGGCTCCCGCCAGCTGTCCTCTCGAAGTAATGGTGGCCACAGGTATGCTATAAACTACCTGCGTATGCTAAAACTCGGTTGATATCAATTGAACCTTTTATTGTAGCCTATGCAACGTATAGCTCGGTGCAAAGCCCGACATGACTTTTATGAAAGGGGTCCGAGCTTTTCCTAAGTAACCCAGGTAACGCGTTTTTGCCGTTTATTCTATAAACAAAAACATGTGAAATATTGCACAATATTATACCACTTACAATCATTAGAGTTAGCAAGCCGCAATAAGGCGAACGCGAAGAGTTAGTAAGTTCTTAAGAATACTGTAAAATTACTTCTTGGAAATCTTGCTGATAGCTTTTAAGAGGATAAGGCATCATGGCTAAACGAAAAGCCCCCGGCCGCCATTCCCACACAGGCGTGGAAAGTCCATCAAGCATCGCCGACACGATCCATGTATCGCCTTCGACGCCTCCAACTCTGATGGCCCTAATGAGCAAGCCTTCCCGACGTAGCACGCGAATTACTCCCACAGACGATATGACTGGCCAGAATAGCGCTTCGCCTAAGTTAGGAGTCTGTACCTTGACAGACGCGTCATCCGAGCGGGATGTACTGCCAAGCTCGAACGAATCTTCTCTTCCAGCCAGCTCACAAACACCCAGCCGCAAGCGGCCACGCGCAGACTCGAATACGGCAGAGCGTCCCAAGCGACCCAGAAGACCATCGGACGAAGAAGGAACAGATAATGTGAAAGAAGATCAGCCCACGCTGGTCCAGGGACTAAGGGCAATAGTGGACCTAGCGACACAAGACGAGGAAACAGAAAGTCAACCATCGTGCATACTGGAATGGCCAAATCTCAACGAGCAAGATCTCGATCGCCTGAACGGCCATGCTTCGGCCTCATCCGACAGGAAATTGAACGATGCGGTTGTACACGCCTGCCTGGAGGGCTTGGCCTGTCTCCAGCCTTATATCTTCACCATCGCACCTTGGGAAGTACAGTCTATTATCAGTACATCCCACGAAACGCAGTCATTCCCCAATCATCATCGTGCCTTTCTTGGTGCCACGGAAGGTTTGTTTTGCCCGAATATCGCCGGAAACCACTGGGTATGCGTCCACTTGGAGTTGCAGAAATGCCAAGCAACTATCTACAACTCTCTCGGGGACAACGATACTCAGCGTGACGAGGCGACACGCATCATCAAAATCCTAATCCAGCATTTAATAGAAGGAGGCGAAGCCTTCGCCCAGTGGAAGTTCGTTGCTAGGAACTGTCCAACCCAGGCTAATGCTTACGATTGTGGTATTTATGCGCTGGCTACAGCATACCATTTGGCTTACAGACTTGCTATTCCCGACGAATTCGATGCGCAGCTTTGGCGATGCTTTTTATACGCATTCTTGATGGGTCGCTCTCCGGAACCGTCTGTTGGCATTTCCACAATCGAGAGAGTTATGGACTGGCATATATTGCGTACAGATATCACCGAGTTATCCGATGACCCCCACGTTCTATATAGCCAGATACCTTCGACGGGTGGCCCACTTTGAACAGGCACCAGCGCTCCGATCCGCCATGTGACAGTGTTGATAGACGAGAGCCTCTTTATGCTATCAATCAAGAACAAAAGGACATTCTACGTATTAGAAAAGGTTTGAAAGGGGTAGACGAACATAAGAGGTGGCTCCAAATATACAAGATGGTCTGTCCAGAGGCTACGCCTTCCGACCCATCCCCTTGTAAGCTATCACGAAAAGAACATGTTAGAAATCGATAACTAACCAGCTTTTGTAGACATTAGAACGGATGCTGATCATGCTGCGATCCGGGACTTTACAAATTTCGCGCATAGAGAGATGCCTGACCAACTGAAAAGAGAGCTCGATGTGTTCTCAAGCGAGTCCATTATTATCCTGGATAATGACAGAGGCCTGCATGATCTTCATCAAGTAGTAGGCAAAGTCCTGGACAATTTAATAAGCAAGTTCGAAGGCTCTCTACCATTCACCATGGCATCGGGCGTAGTTCCAAGACCACTCGGAGGAACCTGACAGCCTGAGGGACACCCTTGGCGATTTCCATTTCAACCCTAATCTTGATTTCAGTTCAGACTTCAATTTCGGCGCGGATAATTGGGGAAATATAGGATATGATGATTCCTGAGAGGTACATGAATTCGATGTGGTTGGAATCTATGTTTACGGCCTACAAATTACAGATAACTATAGTAGGGATCTAAATAGACCTCGCAGATATGTTTTATTAAAACTCGAGGCAGAATCTGATGGATTGGCAACTGGTGTAGAAACCGTGTTAATATGTTTGAGTGCAGGTGGAATCCTATCCAGAACCATATTAGAAGGGTTTCTTGTTGCAAACTTTATCAGGTGCTGACTGATGTTTGGGGAGGTGGCTGATGTTTAAGCTAATATGGTAAGTTGTTCCTTGTCAATTGCTGTTCAAGTTTGACATCGCAAGCCTTGGCTGGGGTTGGAATCACGGGAGCTATCTTATGATCCCGGTATTCTTCTCGTCTCAGGTTTGCCCCACCCATCCGCAGAATGCACCGAAGCTCGCTGAGCAAGAGCTTG